AAAACAACTGGAGGACGATATCTCTGTCAGCAGATTGAAAGAAAACTTATTAAAGCACCTAAGAACATGATCAGATTTAGGAATGCTTCAAGGAGAAAAAATTGACATTAGGGCTAATTTTTTTATTATGGACCAATCACAACGAAGGTGAAATGGTGGGGAAACGTTTCAAGGATAAGACTTCGAGATGACGCGATGAAAGGATCTTGTAAAACGGGATCAGGATACTGTGTGTTACAATCTCGGGTATGCTTCAAATATTACAACCTTCCTATACTTCAAATGTTACGGCTCTCTCTCCGTTGTCTAGGGTGTATGACATAAAACGCAAAGGTCCCATGTAACAATATATGTATATAATATTTATTAGGTTCTTTATACAACAGGATGCACTTACACTTCACTCTAACTCTTAACTAATTCACTCGCTCCTATCGCTACTCCAAACGCTGACGACTAACTCTCTCTCTGACTCTCACTGAATTTCTCTGACTGACCTCTAGGCAACACACATCCCTTTTATATAACCATCACAACAACTCAGCCTACGCAACCGTTCCACATCACGGACTAACTTTCACGCTCTGACCCCACGACCAACAACTCACCAAACACTCCCACGATTAACGACTCCCCCTACCCAACACTCACAACAACTCTCGCTCACAACACTGTGTGCCAAAGATATAAGCTGAGGCGGAGATAATGAGAAAGACATTCATTACAGTAACAGTCTTGTCTACTATGACAAATTAATTCACAAATTAAAGCTATCATTAGATGGCGTAAATGCCGAAACCTATGACGAATGTTCGCCTGGAAAGAAAAGGTCACAGAGAATTATTTTGAAGTGAACTGGTCTTATTGTTCTCCCCCAACTTTCATTACAATTTTACAATTACTATAAAGTATTATGATCAAACCATAAATATAGAGAGGAAAATGACTTATTTGGTTATTTGTTTGTATTTATAAATTCTACATGCATTGTGCTGACTTTAAATTTAAAAGGGCAAAGTCACGCCATTTGTTCTTGGGTTGAAAAAGCTCCAAAAAACTTATTTATCAATTTGACCTGATAAAACTTTGACTTTATTCAACTATAACAAAAAAAGTCAGGGCCGTCTTAAAAACATAGGAGGCCCTGGGCACAGCAATGCACTGGAACCCCTTATCAACGCAACATACATGGGCCGTGAGAAAAAAAGGGGGGGGGGACTCGCTCAAAGAGTTAAGGAGGGGGGGGGGCAAACGGGGTTTGTGTGTTTTACCTCAGAACCAAATTCAGAGACTCCAGAAGGTACACAATACTGCAGCACGCATTGAATCGCGGATAAAGAAATCTAACCACATTACCCCAGTTTTTAGAGATCGCCATTGACTTCCTGTGAGTGAGCGCATTGGCCACAAAATTCTGTCCCTGGCGTACAGCTTGTATAGAAGGCTGTGCATCGGAATATCTTACAGAACTTATTTCTAAACACGTATCCTTAAAGAACTTGCGCTCTTCAACACAGTCCTAACTGAGAGTTCCCAGTGTGAATGGATACAGAAAGAAGTCATACGGAGTGCGCTCTTTGAAGCAATAATGCCGAAATTACAGAACAATTTGCCTCAATCTTTGAGGGAAATTGAAAATGATTAAAAATGACTTAAGAAACATTTAAAGACTTTTTTCTTTGAACAGATTTAAGAACATCAGAGCGCTGTGAGCATGCTAAAATAGCAAGGATGCAAGCGCTGTAATTATGCAATACAACACAATACGAACTGAGTACGGCTTGGCCAGCCGGCCACAAATCGGTTTCGACTCCGAAAAACATGGTTCTTGATAGGTTTTTGAAAATAAATTTTGCTCTCAAAATTTTTTTAACGTCCTGCTACTGTTTTTTTTTTTGTTGTTTTTTTTGTGTGTGGCTCTTTTGACTAATGAGTTTCCCGACCACTGCCCTAGACTAAAGTGGAGCCATCGAACTGCCTACATAACTATACATTTTAACACCAGAAAAGGGTGTCACCAGAAAATGGTGTCACCAGAACAAGGGTGTCACCAGAATAAGGGTGTCACCAGAACAAGGGTGTCACCAGAACAAGGGTGTCACCAGAACAAGGGTGTCACCAGAACAAGGGTGTCACCAGAACAAGGGTGTCACCAGAACAAGGGTGTCACCAGAACAAGGGTGTCACCAGAACAAGGTGACACTAAAACAAAGTGCCATATTAAACTAGTTTTAGTATGTTTTGATAAGATCATTGGAGTTTATGAAACCCGGAGCTGGTCATGGTCAAGTGGGCTTCCCTCAACAGCACCATAAATAATGTAATCGTATTCAGCGGCGTCTCTGTGGGGTCGATTGGTGCGGGCCGGTTGACACGTTTACATGGAGCAGACACCAACATTCATAATAATAATATTAATAATAAATGCAAACATTTTAAAAGTTCGTTTGTGTCGGTTTCATAAAAGATCGTTGTCAAATAAGATAAGATAAACTTCTTTTTTTTTAAATCCAAACAAATGGCAATGTTGTTTTTTTATGGTATTGTACATATACATTTTCAACGCATAAATCAATTCTTAATTTAATGAAGTCAACATTAACCAACTAAAACAATTTAAACCCAAGAAATCTAAATTAAAGTATTGGCCTAGCTTAAAAAATATAATAATAATAATAATAAATAAATAAATTTAAAAAAAACTGCCAAGAACAAGGTGCAAAGAGTGCAGGGTATAACAAGACAGTAGGATTGTACAAGAATAGTTTTTTTCAAGGCAGCCGGTTGCCACCAGAGCTAGTTGCTTCAGTCAGGTTGTAAACTAACAAGACAGAGTCGGAAGATGTTCGTAGGGAAGTCTGTAGGTGGTGACGCCATCATAAAACCTAACCCTTTAATGCTACTGACTTCACTAATATTTTGAATAAATTTCACATAAAACTATCACCCCCCAACCCCAACCTAATTAAACTGGAACATCACCGATAGTAGTTCATATCAATTTTCAAATGAATGTTTTTGATTAGGGGGCGTCCATTAATTACGTCAAAAAAATAGGGGGGGGGTTGAAATGTTAGCAGTTGTTAACAAGGGGGGGGGAAGGAGGGGGTTTAGATTAGTTGATGTCAACAATAAATTTTTTCTCTATTTAAATTGTAATCTTTCAAATTGACTCGTTATTACATTATTTTTTTTTAAAATATAAGTGTAAATGAGTGTAAATAGTCATATAATTTTTAGGCTTTTAACAATATAAGATATATTTAATGTGTGTCTGTGCACTGCAGATGGCTGGTCAGAATGTTAGCACACTTTGTTAGCGCAAAGAAGTCAAAAGTTGGTCTCTCCTCAACTGTAGATTCTGTTGCTAATATGGAACAAGGTTCAAGTTTCATGTTCAGTCAAGATAAAAGATATTGATAGAGTATGAGTACGATATTTTGAGAATTAGATGAATGTAAAGTGAGTAACAATAATAACATCGCTGCTTGAACGGATTTATAAAAACCTGTAACATCTATTTTGCATCACAAGGGTGCTGGGTGGCCGAGTGGGCTAAAGTGACTCACTCCAAATAGTGGTGGTCTGGAGTTCAATTCCCGGGTGGATGGGACTCATTAGCCTTGGAAGGCAACTCATATAAGAAAGGGCTAACACTGAATTCAAACCAGGAGACTAAATGATCGTGGGCCCTCAAATATGAAAAAAAACAATAATAATTAAAAGTCATGGTGAAAAAGCATGTTCAACAGCACCGACAATGCTCTCTTGAGCATAAGAAATTAACAGGACCAATTCGAGTAGCTGCAAGGAGATGAAGAGAGCTTATGGCAAATTTTGCCCACACCGAATATTGCTTCTATTTTAAGTGCCGAATGGTTTGATGAGGATCTGTGCCACAAAATGAAAAAGATAAATCAGCTCCTACAGACTATGCCCACCAAGGGCGTCCTTTCATGTTTTTTTTTCAGGGGGAGGGGAGGGGGCAAAACCAAAAACTTGGTTGGCTTGTTAAGTTGTTTATTACTGGAGGTGCCACAGTACATAGAAATTTAAATAAAACCTGCAAATTAGGGGGTGGGGGCAAATGCCCCCCTGTCCTACCCAAATGATGTCCCTGATGCCCATTGTTACGATAGAGCAAACCTGGCTACTCCTTGGGAAGATGATACCAGCTAGAAACTATGCTATAATTGTCAGCTTTACTGACAATAATCATAGTTATACCACAAACAATGATATTTAGTCTTTAACAACCTTTCAGTTGATTCTGCATTATAAAATTAATTTAAAGTGTAAAAACTTTTTAACTTGTTGAATAACAAGCTAAAGATGTAATAAAATGTTTTTCGTACAATTTTGTGACATTAAAATAGATCAGCACAAAGTAAAATATATCTTTAATTTTATTTATAATATAATTCCTTGGGGGGGGGGCGGGGGGGGAAAGGAGGGAAGGTCATTCGTAATCAAATTTGGGCATTGAACGTTTGACAGTTGTTGACACGGGAGTTGGGGGGGAGGGGGTCAAAAATTGCTTTAAAACTATTGACGTAATTAATGGACGACTCCTTATGTGACTTAAGGCTAACTTATCGCCAGAAGCAGCATAGGCGCTGTGAATGCACAGAGAAAAGAGATAGCCTAACCTTTTCTTTTCATTCGACTTTTGTCAACTTTTAAATTTTATAATAATTAGGGAATATATTTTAAGTTAAACGTTCAAAATCAAGAGTTTGCATGAGAACAATTGAAGCCTGTTTTATTTTAAAATAGTTTGTTGTTTACTTTCATTATTTTAATGATAAAATTTATTGCATTATCGAAATGTTTAAGTTCAATATCGATATAGTTTATAATTATTATTATGTGTCGGCTCCTGTCTGATGTAAAAAGTTTTCCAACACAAAACTGCGAATGAAAAATAGTACTATGATTGACCTTTCAACTTATATTAGGTCAGAGGTTGTTATCAGGTCATCAACATACGATCAATAATCAACATGGCTTCAGCTTCGCCGATTTATCAAGGCTCTCGAATATTTCTGTCGGCGTCTGAGAAAAGTGGAGTTTCTCTGGATAATGTGAGTGTTATTTTGGCATATTAATTATATTTGAATAATAAGTTTGGCTTACCATAAGTTCAAACTATTAAAATAAAAGCATGCTAAAATTAATTTTAAAAAATAAAATATAGTTAAAATTATCAATTTTTTTTTTTACAAATTATTAGTCAAAGAGTTAGAGTTGAGTAGTGGGACTTGGTCTTAGTATAATTTTTAGTTTAGTTACTGATAATTAATTGCAGTTTAAAAAGTCTTTTCTCTACTACTACAAATGAAATGAAATTCTAAGTTTTGGTTAAAAATAATGGATTCAATTTTTGTCATTTTCAAATAACTAATAATACTAAATACTAATTGTAATAGTACTTATCTAATAAATTATTTAATTAAATTAGAATTAGTAATAATAAATCAGTGCACTTGGACTTGAACTTTTGATATGTTCTTGACGGTTGACGTTTTATCATGAATCATTTTATTTCAATAACAGTGATGAGCTTTTTCAAATTTTAGTATATTATAGTTATAGCCTTATCTTATAATTAACTTATACTACTAATTATTTGTCCTCATCACTTAAAATTAAAATGAAGTGATATAGCACCCTGGTTCCGATAGGGCTAGGGTCAAAACCCAGGTTAAGGGTAAGTTTAGGGTTCAGGTTAGGTTTATTAGGGATACAGACCTGTTTACTCTTATGATTTTGGTGTACAATGTACGATTTTGAGATGTATACATTATATATACTGTATGAGTATGTTTATTTTTTACTATTAAGATTATGTTGATTGAGGGTAAACAGGTCTGGGGATAGATTTAGGGTTCAGGTTAGGTTTAGTGATACATTTAGGACATAAGTTTGAGGGTCGTGGCAACCAAGGTAAAAAATTGTACTTAATGGACTTCTTTGTCTTTGTTGTTAATAATAATAATGTTAATAAAAATAAATTTTACTAGGTCTATTAAATAGACTTTTTGTTAATAAGTTTAAGTAAGCCTAATTCTTAAAAAAAAATTCTTTGAACTTTTACTGCCACTGCTAAATCTAATAGACTTTGTAACTTTGTTGCCTCATGGAGTTCAACTCATGTCGTATAAATGTATAATGTATGTCATGTAGTATAAATCATTTGATTGCCTGCCCTTAATTTAAGAAAAAATGCTACACTAAGCTATGGTAAGGAGCTGACATTTGTGTGACAATTTTTGAGGTTTGGGGGGTGAGAGGAATACAAATTAGAAAAATATAATCTGACCCCAGTTTTGGAAGGCCCCAAACTACTGAGCCCACTTATTAATCTTTTATAATGGATTTGATACTTAAATTTAATGAATCTAAATCTAATTCATTGAGTAACTTTTTATCAAATTTATTTTAATTAATTTAGAGTAAACAGATTTAAGTCTTGTTCTTTTTGATAATGATCCCAAAGTCGCTTTGACAAGTAAGTGTCATTGTTGCATCAAAATATTAAAAAATGTCACAATTAATTTTTATTTTAGTATTCCATAAGTCTTTCCTAGTTACGGATTAGGGGCCTTTATCTCTTTGTTTAAATTATAGAGTATTCAAGTTTAAAGTGGCTGTTCTCTCAAAGGAATTTTTTGTTCTGAAGCGAAACTGAAAGAAATTATAAATTATTATTCCAAGAATCAACAATAAAAAATTTCATATATTTTTTAATTGAAGAGTTACGTTATAAATAACTACAGATACTGGTATAATTAACTACTTTTTTAAAGGTTCTTTCTTTTGAATTTATAAGGGCACTGTAGATGAAGCCTATACTAATAAGTATGATGAGTGTTCAGTACTGTAATGTTACTGTTGACAATTGATAATATTACTACCAATGGACCAGTGCATTGTCTCCAGTGTTAGCATCCCTATGTCATCACTGGCTCAGTGTTAGCATGCCTATGTCATCACTGGCTCAGTGTTAGCATGCCCATGTCATCACTGGCTCAGTATTAGCATGCCCATGTCATCACTGGCTCAGTGTTAACATACCTATGTCATCACTGGCTCAGTGTTAGCATGCCTATGTCATCACTGGCTCAGTGTTAGCATGCCTATGTCATCACTGACTCAGTGTTAGCATGCCTATGTCATCACTGGTTCCATGAGTCACTGGTAATCTGAATCATTTCAGTGTCATTTATTTTCAATTTTTCATTCAGGGTTTGTATTTGAAAGCTTACACAGTTTTTAGGATAAGATTCTAGCAAGATGCTATTTGATTTGATACTGGGGAGTTTGCAAATTTGATATCATGTTTCTATATTTAGTTAAGATGACTTTTCTTATTAGGATTGATAATCAGACATCAATTATTGTAAGCAGGTAAAAACATGACTCAGTTTCTCTTATTGTAGTTTATTGTTTATTGGTCCACCAAAACAGTTTTCATGAACTGTGTTAACATTAACTTGTATGTTGAAACTTCCTCATTCAAATTGCCTGTCTTTAGTTAATTTACTGTTCTATTATGGAAGCTGCTTATTAAGGACAGTTCTTTAAGCTTCTCTACGTTTCAAATAATAATTTGTTTATTTCTTTTTAAAAAATAATCCTAAATGTAATTAAAAATCAGTAACACAAGACCTGTTAAATTATTGCTACAAGTCAAAGTAATACTATTGATTAATTCTTTTACTTACAATTAAAAATTTTGTAACATTACAAAGAAAAATTGTGTGCATATTTGTTTTTAGTTAGTGGCAGTGTTAAGTGCTGGTGCTGATTTTAACAGGGAGGCAGTTTATAATTCATGTTTGAATATTGTATTAGAACTATTGCCAGAGTAGTTGAACTCTGTCTCAAACCAAGATAGTTCTGGTTGTTTGGGAAGTAATAATAATAATAATAATAAGTGGTCTTATATAGCGCGGTACCCCAGCCTAGGACTGGGCTCACCGCGCTGTACATAAAAATATTAGCAAAGAGACATAATCATGATATTAAAATAAAATACATAAATGTAATAAAAAAACAGCATGTAAGCAAAAAACAAAGGTAAATTCACCCACCCACTCCAGAAATTTTACAAGGCAACCCATGAACGGTATGCAGCAGGATCGTTTATCGGTCAAATGCTAAATTTACCTATACAACGTCTGCAAACTGTTTTGGTGATGTTTGCTATTCTCATGTTTTACTTTATTTTGTATCTTTCAAAGATCCCTACAACCTTTCTCACTTTCCCAGGGGTCAATGGCTGTTCAAGAAAACTCCTAAGAAATATTAAATTGTTACACAGGTTAGACCAAAGGGGCTCCGTCATAGTAACATATTCTGAAAAGGACTCCCCAAGTAAAAGAAAAATGGTTGAGAACCACTGCCTTAAACTAATAATCGGTAAACTAATGATTTGTCCATTTCAGGTGAACTTTGTGACTGCACAGTTTACTGCACTCCTCTTTGGCTTCTTTCTTCGTTTTTTCATACCTCAAAGTCTGGGCAAGCCACAATGGAGGCTGCTGTACTGCCTGGTGACTGGGTTGGCCTTATTATGGTTCATGATTGGCTGGTAAGTCCTGGGTTTGCCTTGTAATGGTTCATGATTGGCTGGTAAGTCCTGGGTTGGCCTTGTAATAGTTCATGATTGGCTGGTAAGTCGTCATTACTAATTTAGTTGTTTTAAAATTAAAAGAAAAACATTAAGTCCTACGTATTAGGGAAATAACAACAAACAACAGCTTTAGCCGTAATCAGTTAGCTTTATTACAGCATCTTTCTAGTAGACTCATTCTGGCATTAGCTTTCTAATAGCATCTTTCTAGCTGCAGCATTCTTGCATCAGCATTCTAACAGCATCTTTCTCACATCAGCATTCTAACAGCTTCTTTCTCACATCGGCATTCTAGTTAATCTAACACAAAAGCAAGCCAAAACTCACTTATCACTGTCATTATGGTCATTATGTAATAGCTGTATTGTTTGGAACCACCCCCCCCCCCACCCCACAAACAACCAACACTACCCATTTTTGGTTTAAACCTCATGAACAACATGACTGTGCCCTATTGTTCCCATTATATTAGCCAGATCAGCAACATTTCTATTGGGTTCAAGGTGGAATGTGTCTCATGAGAGCTTCACTCTTAGACTTAAGTGGATTCTTAGCAATAGTCAGGATATTGTATGGCAGCCCTGCTTTGATTAATAGTGAATTTTCTAATTTGTTAAATGTTGTTTGTATAGTTTAGTTTTGACTCATTTTAATTTTAAAGGAGAGTGGGGCCCTAGCCAATATAGCCATCAAGTTGAAACGGGAGAGTTCCTTGGTATGTTTTGAGTACCTCCGGTATACGTCATTTTTACTATCTCAAAATGCAAAGTTTAACAGTTTTTGTTAAATTTCTTTATGCTTTTAAGCTATGGGGGGTCAGAGGTCAAGTCTATTTAAATAATTCAATTGTTGGGGTTTACCTTCCTAGTCTACCTGTAGGCCACCCATTGAGAAGTTATATAGCAGTGAGCTCATTAGCCAGCATTGTAATGATTGAGGTCAGAGGTCATTTCTATTGGAATCATTCAATAGTTGGGGTTTACCTTCCTAGTCTACTTGTAGGCCACCCATTGAGAAGTTATGTAACAGTGAGCTCATTAGTCAGCATTGTAATGATTGGGGTCAGAGGTCATATTAACGGGATACCCCCCCCCCCAACTCAGTAGCACTGGTATGAGCTGGAGTGTAACTATTACAGTGCAGAAAGCTTAACCTGTATATATATTCAGTTTTGTCTCTTGATTCATCTAGAATGTTATATCATCACCTCTGTCCAGTCACTTGGTCCATCTAGCATGTTATATCATCCCCTCTGTCCCTTCACTTGGTCCATCTAGCATGTTATATCATCCCCTCTGTCCAGTCACTTGGTCCATCTAGCATGTTATATCATCACCTCTGTCCAGCCTCTTGGTCCATCTAGCATGTTATATCATCACCTCTGTCCAGCCTCTTGGTCCATCTAGCATGTTATATCATCACCTCTGTCCAGCCTCTTGGTCCATCTAGCATGTTATATCATCACCTCTGTCCAGCCTCTTGGTCCATCTAGCATGTTATATCATCCCCTCTGTCCCTTCACTTGGTCCATCTAGCATGTTATATCATCACCTCTGTCCAGTCACTTGGTCCATCTAGCATGTTATATCATCACCTCTGTCCAGTCACTTGGTCCATCTAGCATGTTATATCATCACCTCTGTCCAGTCACTTGATCCATTTAGCTTGTTATATCATCCCCTCTGTCCCTTCACTTGGTCCTTCTAGCATGTTATATCATCACCTCTGTCCCTTCACTTGTTCCATCTAGCATGTTATATCATCACCTCTGTCCAGCCTCTTGGTCCATCTAGCATGTTATATCATCACCTCTGTCCCTTCACTTGGTCCATCTAGCATGTTATATCATCACCTCTGTCCCTTCACTTGGTCCATCTAGCATGTTATATCATCACCTCTGTCCCTTCACTTGTTCCATCTAGCATGTTATATCATCACCTCTGTCCAGCCTCTTGGTCCATCTAGCATGTTATATCATCACCTCTGTCCCTTCACTTGGTCCATCTAGCATGTTATATCATCACCTCTGTCCCTCCACTTGGTCCATCTAGCATTTTATATCATCACCTCTGTCCAGTCACTTGGTCCATCTAGCATGTTATATCATCCCCTCTGTCCCTTCACTTGGTCCATCTAGCAGGTTATATCATCCCCTCTGTCCCTTCACTTGGTCCATCTAGCATGTTATATCATCACCTCTGTCCCTTCACTTGGTCCATCTAGCATGTTATATCATCACCTCTGTCCATTCACTTGGTCCATCTAGCATGTTATATCATCACCTCTGTCCAGTCTCTTGGTCCATCTAGCATGTTATATCATCACCTCTGTCCAGCCTCTTGGTCCATCTAGCATGTTATATCATCACCTCTGTCCAGCCTCTTGGTCCATCTAGCATGTTATATACGACTATATTTTGATGATGTTTACATTTAAAAAAAACACAAATCTAACCTGAGAAATTAAATTTATTTGAACCAAAACCCTTAATCAAAGAGTTTATATGACATTATTTGTGTTGAATTTTTGTTTGACATTCATGGTGTAGAATTTTTATTTGACCTTCCTTGTGCAGCAGCTTGGAGGAAAAATTTTAGAACTGCCATGAAATGTAACAAGATAGGTAACCCAAGTTACTATCGCCTTGAAAGCCACATTTTAAATTCTTTGATGGGCCCTTGCTTTGACTAATGGTCATGACAGCAGGTCGACAATTTTAGCTCTGCATCAATTATAACCTGATAAATATTGGGGTTGCTGCGCTAAGTGCTAACATTAGCTTGTGTATTTGACTTGTTTGTTGCTCACATTAGTTCAGTTATTTGAATTGTTTGTTGCTCACATTAGCTCAGATATTTGACTTGTTGTTGCTCATATTAGCTCATGTATTTGACTTGTTTTGGTGCTCACATTAGCTCATGTATTTGAATTGTTTTGGTGCTCATATTAGCTCATGTATTTGACTTGTTTTGGTGCTCACATTAGCTCATGTATTTGACTTGTTTTGGTGCTCATATTAGCTAATGTATTTGGCTTGTTTTGGTGCTCACATTAGCTTATGTATTTGACTTGTTTTGGTGCTCACATTAGCTCATGCATTTGACTTGTTTGCTGCACACATTAGCTCATGTATTTGACTTGTTTTGGTGTTCATATTAGCTCATGTATTTGACTTGTTTTGGTGCTCACATTAGCTCATGTATTTGACTTGTTTTGGTGCTCACATTAGCTCATGTATTTGACTTGTTTGCTGCTCACATTGACATATCCAACCTTTGAATAACTCGTGTATTTATTTGGTGCTTATTTTGAACTGTCCAACTTTTGTCTAACTCATGTCTTTGCCTTCCATTGCCAGGTCGTTATGGATAGTCCTGGCCCAGGTGGGCATATGCTACCTGCTGATGAGGTTTTTACCCAGCCAGATGCAGTTGTAAGTACCATGAAAAAAGGGGGAGGGGCTTAAACATTTTATCATCAACTCAACTAGCCATAAATTAAACATGACCGTCTCTAGTGATAGCATCTAATGGTTTGCGGTGGCCAGCTGTAATGTGCTAACCAAAATAATTTAATTTGCACTTCATATACCCACCCCACCCGTTGCATCCCCTATATCATTTCCCTATGGCAAAATTAAGTCCATTGGCGTCAGCCCCCAAGCATCTTATTACCGCAGCAGTAAACAAATATATTAAAATTTACATTGACAGCCTCATAAGTCATAAGGACTTTGAATTCAGCATTAAAAACATGACATTTTTAAAATTAAAAAATAATCATAATGTTAATATTATATCAATAAGATAACCATGGTTTTTTTCAAATGCATTTCTTTTCTTTCTTTTTTAAAAGCAATTTTATAACCATGGGTTTATTTGAAAATAATTGTTTAGTTAGGATTTTTTTGCATTTAAACGTAATAGATCAATTTCATGTTAAAGAATAAGCCCATTATCTGAAACATAAGACAAATCAATAGCTCAGAATCAACAAAAACATGAATGTAATTGGGACTATCAACATAAACATGACTGTAATTGGGACTATCAACATAAACATGAATGTAATTGGGACTATCAACATAAACATGAATGTAATTGGGACTATCAATATAAACATGAATGTAATTGGGACTATCAACAAAAACATGAATGTAATTGGGACTATCAACAAAAACATGAATGTAATTGGGACTATCAACAAAAACATGAATGTTATTGGGACTATCAACAAAAACATGAATGTAATTGGGACTATCAACAAAAACATGAATGTAATTGGGACTATCAACAAAAACATGACTGTAATTGGGACTATCAACATAAACATGAATGTAATTGGGACTATCAACAAAAAGGGACAATATGACTTTGATTGCTGCGCCTCATAAATTGCTTTTACAGAAGTTGTTCACCCTTTTGTTTGGTATGCTTGCCCACCACTATGTCAGTATGTAAGCCTTTTTCTTTTTCTCTAAAGTTTTCTTAACATATGCAGAGGATGTAATTTCAGACCTGTTTACTCTCAAACTCTTAAAATCGTACAATACTATCACAAAATCGTTCAATACCTTATATTTATAGGAAAAAATTAACATACAATATATATGCTAACACCTCAAAATCGTACATTGTACGCCAAAATCGTAAGAGTAAACAGGTCTGTAATTTTATATTCAATATACAAATGAAAAGGACAAGAGTTGCCTTCTTCTACAACTGAGCCAGATCATTCTTCATGTCTTCTTCTACAACTGAGCCAGATCATTCTTCATGTCTTCTTCTACAACTGAGCCAGATCATTCTTCATGTCTTCTTCTACAACTGAGCCAGATCATTCTTCATGTCTTCTTTTACAACTGAGCCACATCATTCTTCATGCCTTCTTCTACAACTGAGCCACACCATTCTTATGCCTTCTTCTACAAATGAGCCACATTATTCTTCATGACTTCTTCTACCATTGAGCAACATCATAAGTCATTTCATTCTATTAGTTTCAGTTTTGTTCTTCTAATTCATGTAATCTTTTTGTTATTTTTAGCTACTTTCTTCATTACTTTCTCTTTGTTACTAAAATCTATAACTCTGTGGTGTATATCTATAACTCTGTGGTGAATATCTATAACTCTGTGGTGTATATCTCAAATTCTTCATTACTTTCTCTCTGTTACTAAAATCTAAATCTCTGTGGTGTATATCTCAAATTCTTTATTACTTTCTCTTCATTACTAAAATCTATAACTCTGTGGTGTATATCTCAAATTCTTCATTACTTTCTCTCTGTTACTAAAATCTATAACTCTGTGGTGTACATCTCAAATTCTTCATTACTTTTTCTTTACTTTCTGTTTAATTAAATTAATCATAAATTATTTTTAGTTCCCTTAACAATAATTTTATATCTTATTCTCAAGCATAAAGTGTTTCTCTTTCTGAGTACTGTATAATGCAGTCTTCATCTCTGTGGAACAAATTTCAATCAAACAAATTTCTTTTGTTATAATTTCAGGTAACACATGAACAAATTTGTTAGCATCACCTATGCCTGCATGTTGTGATTACATATCACACACATATATTTTTACAGGATCACCTTTGCTCTGTCTTCTTCTTCTTCTTCTATATATTAGGGGCCCACGATCAAAAGTATTGGCCATTCTGGCTCCTGTGTATGTAGAGGGGATTTGCGATGTTTCTGTGTCTGGTATTGAAGAGGATCTTTCACTGGTTGCAAGGGCATTCACATCAGTAACTCCATTATATCTGCAAACGATATGTTCATTGGTCTTGGTCATCTATGCTATGTCTTGGTCATCTATGCTATGTCTTGGTCATCTATGCCTACATGTTGTCGTTGTGTGCATTGCTTTATTGTTACTCATGACCACCTTGTTTTTTTTTCTTTCAGAGTTGTTTTCTTCTTTGCCCTTGGCTACATGTTGGTGATGTATGTCCTGAGACATCAGGAGAGATTTGAGGACCTCTGCTATGATGCAACTTAGTGAGTTGTTGATTCCAAAACTTAATGTATATTTTTTGCGTTTGCTTTTAGTTATTACTAATTAAATTACCTTGTCACAAACCAGTACAATATATAAAAGCTCTTGTAGTCTAGCAATCAACCTCTTGTGTGACAGCTAATCAACTTCGTATATGTGTGTGACAGCTAATCAACTTCGTATACGTGTGTGTCGGCTGTAACAGGGATTGACATCTTTTTTCAGCCCTCTGATGATCACCACACAGAAGGTGACAACACTTGCATTCAGCATCAGCGACTGGAAGCTTCACAAGAGAGGAGGAAAGATGCAAGAAGAGAGGCTCAAGTGGTCTGTGAAGTGAGTACTTGGTTGTGTGGGCAAGTCTGTGAGGTCAGAGTGTGGTTGTCTGGGGAAGTCATTGAGGTCATAGTGTGGTTGTGTGGGCAAGTCATTGAGGTCAGAGTGTGGTTTTGTGGGAAATTCATTGAGGTCAGAGTGTGGTTGTGTGGGCAAGCCTGGAAGAATTGTTTGATTTTGATGATGTATAAAGTGCTCTGGTATGGAATGGTCATCAAATCAGTGGCACTACAACCCATGTAATGGAAGGGTCATCAAATCAGTGGCACTACAACCCATGTAATGGAAGGGTCATCAAATCAGTGGCACTGCAACCCATGTAATGGAAGGGTCATCAAATCAGTGGCACTACAACCCATGTAATGGAAGGGTCATCAAATCAGTGGCACTACAACCCATGTAATGGAAGGGTCATCAAATCAGTGGCACTACAACCCATGTAATGGAATGGTCATCAAATCAGTGATACTACAACCCATGTAATGGAAGGGTTATCAAATCAGTGGTACTGCAACCCATGTAATGGAAGGGTCATCAAATCAGTGGTACTGCAACCCATGTAATGGAATGGTCATCAAATCAGTGGTACTACAACCCAATGTAATGGAAGTGTCATCAAATCAGTGGCACTACAACCCATGTAATGGAATGGTCATCAAATCAGTGATACTACAACCCATGTAATGGAAGGGTTATCAAATCAGTGGTACTGCAACCCATGTAATGGAAGGGTCATCAAATCAGTGGTACTGCAACCCATGTAATGGAATGGTCATCAAATCAGTGGTACTACAACCCAATGTAATGGAAGTGTCATCAAATCAGTGGCACTACAACCCATGTAATGGAATGGTCATCAAATCAGTGATACTACAACCCATGTAATGGAAGGGTTATCAAATCAGTGGTACTGCAACCCATGTAATGGAAGGGTCATCAAATCAGTGGTACTGCAACCCATGTAATGGAAGGGTCATCAAATCAGTGGTACCACAACCCAATGTAATGGAAGGGTCGTCAAATCAGTGGCACTACAACCCATGTAATGGAAGGGTCATCAAATCAGTGGCACTACAACCCATGTAATGGAATGGTCATCAAATCAGTGGTACTACAACCCAATGTAATGGAAGTGTCATCAAATCAGTGGCACTACAACCCATGTAATGGAAGGGTCATCAAATCAGTGGCACTACAACCCATGAAATCGAAGGGTCATCAAATCAGTGGCACTACAACCCATGTTAAGAAAGGCTGCATGATATCTTTGAATGTAATATGAATGTTGTGTCAATGGCTGATTTGAATGTTATGTTGATCTGATAGTTGAAATGAAAGTCAATTATAATGTCCTTATTTCAGGACACTCCCAGGTCCCTTGGAATATTTTGCCTTCACTCTGAGTTTTCAGGGTATTTTGGCCGGACCTTTCTGCCATTACAATGTATTCCAAGCTTTCATAGAGGGCAACACTAGAGAGAGATTGGAGGTAAAACATAGATTACTTGATGATGTGCCACTAGATGTAGTGTAACAGTAAATAAAGAGGAAGTTGAACTGGTTTGTTTAAAAAAATTAGAAATAACAATTTTAATTCCAAAGTTGTTTAAAGATATGTGTTCATTGATCATTAGTTGTTTAAAGATCTGTATTCATAGATCATTAGTTGTTTAAAGATTTGTATTCATAAATCATTAGTTGTTTAAAGATCTGTATTCATAGATCATTAGTTGTTTAAAGATCTGTGTTCATAGATCATTAGTTGTTTAAAGATCTGTATTCATAGATCATTAGTTGTTTAAAGATCTGTATTCATAGATCATTCATTGTTTTTCCCCCTATTATTTCATTTGGAACAAACATCCGTTCTAGCAAAGTTCTGCTCTAACAATAATTCCTTCAAAATATTTCTTTCATGCTAATTTCCGGGTACCTATTTTCTAAGCTATTAAAATAAATAAATTTTCACCACACATTTCTGCCATACATTTTTATAAAAGCCTAACAATTGTATATTACAAAAATTCTAGATGCTTAATAGTTCATGAGGAAGTGGTATTTCATTTTATTTTTTAAAGTTATCTTTTTGAATGGAAAAGTCTTGACTAGATAATCTAATAAAAGAATATTCTTGACTAGATAATTTAATAAAAGAATATGCTTGACTAGATAATCTAATAAAAGAATGCTCTTTACTAGATAATCTAATAAAAGAATATTCTTGACAAGATAATTTAATAAAAGAATAAGCAAGACGAGATAATCTGATAAAAGAAACTGACATTTCCCTATAAAGCCCTTATAACATTTAATAATAATTATTTCCCTTTGCCTATGTGTCTTGATCAGAAGTCAGTAATAGCCATTCAGAATAAGTTATTAGTAGTCTAAAAGTAAAAGTAATTAGTAGTCTAAAAACTTGGAGGCATGATAACTATCTATTTTTGGTTTTGTCTTATTAGGCAAGCAAACTTGCAGTGGAGTACAAAGATGACCCTTCAACTGTCATGGTAAGAAACTGACCAGTGTAAACTCCAAATTTTTCATATATATGCAAAGTATGATGCTCTATATTGTTTAGTCACTCTATCAATTAATATAATATATTGATTCTTATATTATTTAGTAACAGTATAAATCTATATAATCTATATAATATATTGGCTCATATAGCATTTAGTGACTCTATCAATCAATATAATATATTGGTTCATATATCTTTTAGTAAAGGTATAAATCTATGTATAATATATTGGTTCATATATCATTTAGTAATGGTATAAATTTATATAATATATTGATTCACATATCATTTAGTAACTCTAGCAATCAATACAATATATTGGTTATTAGCTTTGTAGAGAATGATATTATAAATTATTCATTTATTCTATCAATCAATAGAAACATGTGTTCAAATATTAATTATCTCATATTTCTCACCATCGCCATGCTGTTATTTATTTCAGAGAGCAGTGCTGACTAAAATATCGGCCGTCTTGTTGTGGATCTTCATCACGGCCGCTGTGAAACCTCATTTCCCTGACAGCAAAAATGTTGGTGAGGAAAGCTTAGTGGTTTCTGGCAATTCATTTTTAAATTGACAAAAATATGTTTGAAATATTTCATGAGGAGGCCCCTTTTCAGCTACACTTATAACTGTGTGTGCGTGGAGGGTAACGGGAGATAAGTCTAAGGAGGATTTGAAATTCTATTTGAAATAAATATTTTTAAAGCTTTAATTATAAATATTAATATTTTCTGAAAACAGGATTATGTGTTTTTTAAGGTGTTTTAAAAATAAAACAATTTTTGAAAAACCTCCCTCATTTCTATAATTTTTTATTTTGCTATTAATATTTATTTTATTTTGTTTTTGGTTAAATTAAAGATGTTTTTTTTTTTTCTGTGAAAAAAATTTGTCAAAGAGACAAAAGTGACTTCAATTTCTTGGCTTTGATAACATTGTACTCATCAATTGTTGCCATCTTTTTTTCTCACCCTCAGATCCTGAGTTCATAGCCAATAACAATGTTTTTACCAGACTCGGCTATCTCTATATATCCCTGTTCTTCCATAGAGCTAAATACTATGTGTCCTGGATTCTAGGTATGTTCATAGAGCCAAAGTAAGATTTTACATATTGTTGGTAAGTTTTATTTTCTTACAACCTTTCCTTTCAGCTGAAAACATCCTGGTCATGCTACTCTGTTACAACCTTTCCTTTCAGCTGAAAACATACCGGTCATGATACTATGTTACAACTTTTCCTTTCAGCTGATGCAGTTTACAATTCCTCAGGCCTGGGCTACACTGGTAAAGATGAGCATGGCAAGCCAATGTGGACAGGGATGTCCAATGTCTTTGTCTGGAAAATTGAGGTGATTTATCATTGATCATTTAATGCTAGATTTTAACATGGAGTCCACTCACCCCTGAGTTGGGCGTGTTAGAGGGGTCTTAACATGGAGTTCACTCACCCCTGAGGTGTGCGTGTTAGAGGGGTCTTAACATGGAGTCCACTCACACCTGAGGTGGGCATGGTAGAGGGCTCTTAACATGGAGTCCACTCACCCCTGAGGTGGGCTTGTTAGAGAGGTCTTTGACTAGAATACTGGTGTTGGAGACCTTGAAAGGTTATCTTCCTTCATTTTCTTTTTGTTCTTTGTATCAGGATTACGTGTGCTTCACAACTATCTTAAAAGAGTGAATCACTGTCACCTTAGGGCTACTTAAACAGAGTTGTAATTAATATTGTTATAATTAGTCTCAAACATGAACACATTTTTCTATGTCTTTTGGTCTCCATGTATTATTCATTATCTGATTTATGGTTATGCCATATTACGTAGTAATTTTTATGGTCATTTTCCACTCAGACTGCTACTAGTTTAAAAGTTTACCTGGACAACTGGAACATCTTGACCACCCACTGGCTGCGACACGTGTGCTACATGCGTGCGCCATTCCTGAACACCCTGCTCACATTTATACTCAGCGCGCTCTGGCACGGCCTCTTCATTGGTTACTATGTAACCTTTGTGTCAGCGGCGTTCTTTGTAGAGGCTGGAAGAAAGGTAAAATGTCTAAACATCATCACAACCTCCTCCTCCCCCCCTCCCCTTTTTTCCCCCCTGATCAAAGGTCCCCAAAATAACTCAAAGAGACGCATGGAAAACTACTTTTTTTTTTGGAAGGCCAACGTTAAAGCACTAAGTTTTAGAGGATAATTCTAGCTGACTTCTAATACTTAGTTGGCAGCACTGTTAAGTTATTTCAATCGTTAGATTGAAGACTTCTTTAACATTGTTTTTGTGAGCTATTTCAAGAAGTTAATCAAAGATTCAAAAGTGAGTTGACAAGTTTCTATAGACATTGATAGATTTATTATTAGAATTTAAAATATTCGTCTGCATCTACTTCACTTTCTCCTATCAAATTCTAATGAATCAGAAAATGTTTTTATTAAATGGATATCAGGATTGGTATTTTCATTATTCATTCTACTTTGAAAATAAAAAAAAGATGTATGCTACAACATGAGAACAAAATATTATTTAAATCTCAGCAAGTTTTACAAATATTTCAATATAACAAATACAGGCACAGCTCAATTTCCGTTACAATTTATTGTAACGCTATTTTTTTTTTCCCACCAGATCCGACAGAACATCCGCCCATTATTCCAGTCATCAAGAACATTGAAAATTGTGTATGAAGTTATATCATTCCTGGGGACCCAGATAGGACTTGCCTTCTTGGTCCTCTCATTTGTTATTCTGCACTGGGAACCCACAATACGATTCCATAGGTATGTCAGCACAAGCAGTTTTATCTCTCTCCTTCTTAAAACAACTGTTTTAACATTTTTATTGGAATTTTTTTTTGGAGATGCTTTATGGCTGAACTATCTTGTAACTCTCAATGACTACGGTCCAGTTTCATTCAAACCATCTTTGAATAGATATTTGACACAATAAACCATCTTTGAATAGATATTTAACACGATAAACCATCTTTGAATAGATATTTGACACGATAAACCGTCTTTGAATAGATATTTGACCGTCTTTGATTAGATATTTGACACGATAAACCATCTTTGAATAGATATTTGACATGATAAAAAGAACAAAACTTTAAAAACAATTGGCTGGCAGTAATGGATTGTTATTTTCTTCTTCCCCCCCCCCACACCTCCAGCTCTTTTTACTGGTGCTGCCACATTGTGATAGGTCTTATTCTCATCGTTCTGCCGTCTCGGAGATCTCCTCGCCCCCAACTTCAGAAAGAACAGCAGCATGAAAACGGCATCGAGAAACCTCAGCATGATTTACCTAAAGACGCAGAGGAAGTCATCGGCGACGGTGATGCTAGGCCTCGTAAACGTGAGGTCATGTTTGTCCAGAAGTCGTAGGCCAGATAAAACCATTGTTTATTTTGTTGAAATTTTTAGTCTTCATTGATAGAATTGTTTAGGTAGGTGTTGATGTTACCAAAAATTGTTTTAGGCGGATGTTGATGTTAGCTGTGGTCCCAGTCGGCCACTTGATGTTGACCATCACATTTCAACATTTGTTAGAGATAATTAGACATGCCAAAAGTAATAGGCATCACTCGCAGTTAAGCCCAGAATTTCTTAAAGGATTCAACACACTACACATAACTGGGTGAATTTTGTACAAAATGATGAGCTGACTTCCTTCTGATACAGCAATTTTATTGAAAATTAACATACAATGATGGAAATGTTTGCATGAAATCTTTATGGAAATAACCTGTCATTTCTCTTCTTTAATAAAAAATAGAAATAAAATGAATGAAATACACAAATTTTTTATAGATCTGGGACTGAAATAAAATGTAAAGTTAGCACTGCACAGATCAAAACGGTAATGCTTTAAGGCAGTAACATTGACAAAAGAATCAATGTTGAATTAGTTTTAGACATTTGGTCAGAAGAAATCCAGTTTTAAAGACCTGTTTTAACATAGTTCGGGAATGCCTACCTGAATGTGAAGACTAGTGGGAAGGCTTTGAGACAAACACATTCAAATGTTTTCCACAGACAACGAAAATCTTCCCGGGTATTATGTGTGGAAACCTTAAGGAATTACTCAAATGTTAATGATGGGGATAATGTATCTACTCTGATGAATGAATAATTAAAATAATTGGTTGGCTTTAATTGAAGCTCTTCCTTTCCTGATCTCTATTTGCATGCACAATATGTGACAAGGGTTGTGTCACAATATGTGACAAGGGTTGCGTCAATATGTGACAAGGGTTTCAATAAGACAGGCTTTGTTCATAATTAGCTGTAAGGTAGTTGTAAACTTTCCAGTCCAGGTTTTTTTAGATCCATCTGTTTGGTAAAATGACCAACAGTTTTAGACTTTGTTTCACATTGAACATTATTTTGTCTCCAGTTAGCATCTGTGAAGTGCTTAAATATTTTCCCCAAGGGTTCTCAAGATGCACCAGATTTGATATTTTTTTCAGTTTGACTGATTTTGGTATTATTGTTGAGTGAACATGTGACTATAACAGATCTTTTTTTTTTAACATTTATGTTAATTTATTCATGTTTGGATGGCATGACTGTTCATAGAATCTGAAATATGCACATTCTAAGTATTCTAACATATGTTTTTTGTATACAAATGTCATATTTATTGAGGATTTAGAATTGAGGTTTATATTTATTAATGATTTGGAAATGGAGATCATATTTATTGATTATTTAGTATAAGTGAAGTGGCATTCCCCTCAGTTGTATTAGAATGCTAACTCCATGTTTTTAGCTGTCTCAGATCTGACATATTTTTAGCAGGGCCAAGATAAAAATATGTTGTTTTTCCATGAGCCTGGTTCTGTATTGTAGAGATTTTTTATTCAGGGAGTATAAAGTATTTCTTTAATCTAAATTTTTGTTAGTAAAACCTTTTTTTTAGGGGGCATTCACTATCCTATATGGGGATCAATTTGTCTATTCTAAATGGCTTGCAATCATCCTATATAAATTCAATATATGTCCATTTAGCCAGGGAATGGATAGTGGTAAACAAAATGTAGGCCTACATTTATCCCTTATCCTGTCCCTGTTTGTGGCGTGAGAGGTGTAGATCTAAATTTATTTGACGTATTAGATGAATTCATTGTTACGTCTTTTTATGACTATGTGAGTGCTCTATTTATTTGACTTGAATCCGAAATAAAAAATAAGCCAACTTGTACAAAGCTCAAAACAAAATCCTGATTTTTATCAATTAAGGAGTATCCATTGTTGTTAATTGAAAACTACTAGTCCCATTTATTAAAGTTTTGTTCCTTCACCATGAATTAATTATTTTACCTTTTTGTGTTATATGTTGATGTTTAATTAACTCGTTTATTTACAACTATAGCACAATAGAATATTTAATACTAGACATGTTAACTGAATTGTATGATAAAGAACTTATTGTACTGGTTAATTATGAATGTACTTGACTACCAGAGATAAATTTAACAACATATTACATAAAATGAAAACTAAGGGGAATACTTTCCGAAAAAAATTAAATAAAAGTTAATTTTTATTTGAAACAAACCCATCTGTAACAGATCAAGAGCATTAGGAAGCTAGTAAGTCTCTGTTTAGTCCATTAATTAGGAGGCTAGTAAGTCTCTGTGGAGTCCATTAATTTATGAACCTAGTTAGTCTCAGTGGAGTCCATTAATTAGGAAGCTAGCAAGTCTCAGTGGAGTCCATTAATTAGAATGCTAGTTAGTCTCAGTAGAGTCCATTACTTCTTTTTATTTCGTTAGTTTAACATTGACGTGCTCTAGCTGTTTCAGTTAGCGTTATCGAAGGATCAACAAATTGTTCATGTATATTGTATTGCTTGTATGTAAGCTTCAGTTTTTATTATGTTATCAACAATTGCATTGTATCTGAGTATTTCCTCGCCAGTTTTGTTATCTAGACATCACCTTACTGTTTTCATTTGTATTTGAGTATTAGTTGGACCGTTGGGATGGAGACATTAAAGTTACTCATTTTGACATTGGTGATGGTATGTGAGAACAACATATGGAACTTTTCTGCAGATTGACTTTTTTAGTACTCATCTCCTCCCGACTCCCAGGTGTAAATTGATTGGGCAGGTAGCTGTTTTCTCTCAGGTATAAATTCATGGACAAGTAGCTTTGTTGATTCAGCCATGTCCCACAGGGGTGAAGAGGGGTGGGGTTGTTAATTCATAGTATATTCGTTGAAATGTATGCTGGGATGAAACAAATATTAATGTTGAGAGTAAACGTCACATTCACACTGAAGGCATTTCTATCAACTTAACTGACCCTCTTGTTTTCCAATTAACTTCCTATCTTAACTTCCAGAGCAACAGAATTTTTTTCATCCTACCAGACCCTAAAAAAAAACTTACTACGGTATTAAATTTATGCTACTCACCTATTTAAATTATTATTTTTTTTAGCATTCAAATGCTTTGCTGAGAGACAAATCCTAACAAACTTTTTTAATTATATTTTATCAGATTAATTCAACATTTAATCCTATCTTATTTTTCAGTTTGTTGTAAAATGCAAAAATACAAATTTTTAACTTCAACTTTCATTCCTTTGTATCATACCCGTGAATCTTACACAACACCTTGGCAATGGCTTTATCCATCTGTGAACCCATACAAATCAGGTCAGCCTTTGGCAACGTTTATTTTTTTTGCTAGATGTAATTATTGTGTTAAACATGTTGTAAACGTAGTTATTTTGTTAAACGTAGCTATTTTGCAATATTTCTAAGATGCATGATTACCAAAGCTTGATTGAAAAAAATTATTTATAAAATTCAAGTTATTATTTTTTTCCTGTCGAGCTGAAGTGCTCTTGGCATGTGTAAGGTGTTGCCTGAAGTGCTTTCGGCATGTGTAAGGTGTTGCCTGAAGTGCCCTCGGCATGTGTAACATGTTGCCTGAAGTGCTCTCGGCATGTGTAAGGTGTTGTGTCCAAAGATGAGACAGTTCCATTTTTATCTGCATCAAACTTTCTTGAAATTATTGTAATATTTTATTTTAATTTTTGTTACATTTGTCTTTTGTTAGTTTTTGGTTTTAATTTTTTGTTTTTGGGTTAGGTTAATGAGAAGGGAAGGGGGTAATTATTGAAATGATCTATTTATTAGGTAGAGATAATCAAAACTAATGACATCATAACAGTGGCCTGTAAACAAAGTTATCAAATGATAACGGTGTACACTATAATTATGGGCTTTTTATGATGTTGGAGGCAAATCTATGTTTAAAAATTGTGAGAAATTATATTTTTAAAATGTGTACTGGTCATTGTGTCTCTGAATATCATTTTTCTTCAAGTCTTCTTTACAAGTAGCTCTTTTTTTTAAATTGTGAGGTGAGTGGCATTGAAAGGTCAAGTTCTGCAGCTGTCTCCTATGTTGTTTTCTCGTGTTGACAGATGACTTGGCCTCACTACAAAGTATCAGAAACCAGGGACACCAACCCAGTTCATTCTCCAGCCACACATCTCTTGGCTCAAGAATTAAATACCTCGATACTCATGCTTGTCATGATGACATGTGACTCAGGCAGATAAATGGGATTTTTGTCATGGGTTGTCTGCACTTTATTACTCTGATATTATTTCCTCTTGGTCTCTGGATATCTCCTCCTGAAAAACATTGTCTCTTATTTCTTGTCATCCTGGCAGTTTTGTTTCATATTCATTGAAGAAGTGTCAGCTTTTTAACAAAAATCATTTGTTTTACAAGAATTGGAAGGTACTGCTACTGTTAGCAAGTTGTATGAGATTTGAAAAAGAAAACATAAAGACATTCCTGTCCCGTGTGTGTGTTCAAGTAATTTATTTATAGCATGCATCATGGGATGTGTTTTAGAATGATGTGTTATGTAAGCTTTGTAGTGAAAATTGCCTTCATAGCATTTGAATGAATTCATTTTATTCAAAAGAAAAAAGAGAGAAAGCAACAGTTAATTTTAATTTTTGTTGTGAGTTCTCTGACAGTTGACAAGGATTTGTTGTAACATACAGTCTCTATTAGTGGGCTATGTCAAGGTTTGTAACATACAGTCTCTATTAGTGGGCTATGTCAAGGTTTGTAACATACAGTCTCTATTAGTGGGCTAAGTCAAGATTTTTTTTGGCTTAAAATTTGTAAAAGCTGATGGCATTGTTAGGTTCGATTCATAGAAATATAAATAAAATATGAATATCTTGGAGCTTGTTTCAAATAAATGCTGTAAGAATCCCAACACAAACCAAGTGAATATTTCCAATGTTAAAATGGCAGTCAGTCATTTCTGTGGAACGCTGTATTAAAGCACAGTACGTTGTCAACATTTCCTTGTCGCTGTGTTCATCCTGTTTGTTTTCCCTGACAGACAGCCATCTATAAAAGGTGTATGTACTATTCAAAGTTATTGTAGAGATCCATGGTTTTTGAATGGGTTTGTAGATGAGCTGTTGCTGGGCCTGATGAGTTGTAGCATAGCCTGTGTAGATGAGCTGTTGATGGTCCTGTTGTGTTGTAACATATTGGGATGTGTGTATCTGTGTCATTATTAAGACAGATGGATTGTCTGCCTGCATAACAGGGTACTTGAACAAGGCTTGTTATTGTTATTCTCAGTATTTGATAACATTGCACAGTGTCACAATTTGATTTTTTGGTAAGCCC